GGAGCCGTTCTTGCCTCTTTTGAGCTGCTATAGCTTCGGCGGTTCTGTCCGTTGATTCACTTCTCGTCCTTCGTTACGTAAAAATTGTGTGCCTGGATCCAAATTTCGATACCCAATTTGTTCATCATTATTAACACTGCATTGTAGCCTTCGTTAAATATCGATGCAGCAATATACGCAGCAATGCAGACGATTTTTGCTCCACTGTGAATGTGTTTAGGCGATAAACGCCAAACGGTAGAATTGAAACTTTCATTCGCATTCTGCGTGTAACCGCCTAAACACCTTTCCAAAAGACTGTCATTGGAAAGATCGTCGAAGATCGGTTGCAAATGTTTTGTCAAAATTTGAGTAAAGAGGAGGGGGATGTTTAAATGACCGCCCGAGGGTCGCTAGGCCCGTCTGAACTCGTCACCCGACCCGTCCGCTTTAACTACGTAACTTCGTAAATACTGCAGATATCGACTTGAAATTTTCAGGGAATATTCTTGAATAGTTTAACAATCGATTAAGACTATTTCCAAAACACCGATTTTTTTGACCCGATAAAGGAGGTTTCCCCCTTAAGACCGTTAGATTGTTGCTTGATATGTATCATTTTATAAACGATGCGCTTATTATAATAACTCTCAACATCTAATCACACTGAATCCCAATCAAATTCGTGACTATGATGCAATCTACGAGTGGGAGGGGGAATTTCTGCGTATGTGTGATTTTGATGTTCAGTTACCCTAGTTTTTAATTTTCTCCCCGTTTATCCCACATAGGATGTATTACAGTCCTTACAATTGATTTTATATATAACGTTTCCTTTTTGTAAATTTGGCAACGAATTTTTGTACTCTAATGAACCTACTTGATTTGTTAAAACTAAAAAATGAAATTCTGTGTACGCTATTATTGATAATGTTCATGAATTTTTCGGAAATGCCCTGTACATATGGAATGCTGAACCATTTATTTTTTGTTGTTACATTGTCAGGTTTTTTATTCATTTTTGCAGATTGGTTTTTTTAATAAGATATTCTATCCCCTATTTTTCATCGTTTTCATGATAAATTCCATGAGATAGTCACTTTCTGTTAATATATTAACGATGAAATTCATTTTTTTTTCATGGAATTCCGGATGCGAGAGGAATAATGGCCTGTCCACTAGATCTAATGTTATTCCCTTTTTTTGGGACATCGGATGTTGAGAATACAAATTTAGGAATCTCCCTGAAAAGATTGGTTTCTGATATCAATCGAATTTAATCTGGCTTTTATCTATCATAACAGTAATATCTAATTTATTTAAACCCTCTATTTTATACCCCCTATTTTATACCTCCAAAGTGAACTGTAGTCTTGTGTGGTATACATTGAAAATATCTATTATATTGTTAATTTCAGTTGAGGAGATGCATAGAAGGATGTCATCTACGTATCCATAATAAAATATCCTGTAATTTATACTACTCAACAGCCGATTCTCTAATTCTTGCATGACTAAGTCCGCTGAAGATAAAGGGGATCCCATTGGAGATCTAAATTTTTGTTTATAGAATTGATCATCAAAAAAAAAGAACGTCGGATCTAAAATCATTCTTATTGCCTCCAAAAATTCTTGTTTAGGGATGTTGCAATTGCTGGAAATATAGTTCCATCTTTTGTTAATAGCCGTTATGACTAAAGCGGAAGGAATGCTGGTGAACAAAGACACGACATCTAATGAGACCAAAACGTAATCTTTTATTGTTAGTGTCTTTTAATTAAGGCCCATGCTTGATACAGCCGTGATAGCGCCAAAATGAATACGTGATTCATAGCATAAGCGAAAACAAAATTACCCGTGTTTTTTCGTTTTGCAAAATTGATTGTTTAAATAAATTGTTTAAAAATTCCCATTTTTTTTTAAATTAAAAGTGCCACTCGATTCTTCGTTCGAAAACAAGAAACTTTTATTCTTGATATTTTTTCGATCCGGTGCTTTGTTTATGCAAAAAATTATTATAAACGGTTTGCATGCGCAAATTCGGCTTCCACCTATGCTCTGAGTATTGTATAAATATAAAAACTAACCACGGAATTCATAGCATAAGCGAAAAAAAATTACCCGTGCTTTTCCTTTTTGCTAAATTGATTGTTTAAACGATAATTGTTTAAACAAATTGTTTAAAAATACCTATTTTAAAAACTAAAAATGCTATTCGATTCTACGTCGAAAAATAAACCACCTCAAAATAAAAGGAAAAACGAGGCCAAAATCGGAAAATCAAAAAACAATATGCAATACCCAGAGCATGGGCGGAAGTCGACTTTGTGCATAAAAACCGTTTATAATAATTTTTTGCATAAACAAAGCACCGGATCGAAAAAATACCAAGAATAAAAGTTTTTTGTTTTTGATTGTAGAATCGAACGGCACTTTCAGTTTTTTAAAAATGAGCATTTTTAAACAATCTGTTTAAACAATTATCGTTTAAACAATCAATTTTGCAAAATAAAGAAACACGGGTAATTTTTCTTTCGCTTATGCTATGAATCACGTATTCAGTTTGACGCTATCACAGGTGTATTAGGCATAGGCCTTAATGGGTTAATTTGTTGACTAATTCGAAATTGTTGTTGACAAAACTCGAAACTTTCGGAATACGATCAATTCATGTAAAAAAATGGCTAGGTTGTATAGCGGACTATCTATTGATGAAATAATTATACGAAAAGGGAAAATCTTTATGTACTTTAGGTAATGCATATGCACTTGGCAATAAATTGTCACTGCAATATAATTTTTTGTATGTACTTTGAGGTATATGATCTGATTTTTTCCATCTTGTAAGTAACTTTTTTAATTTGCTAGTTATTTGTGTTTGTTGGATCTTTGTTAATTCTCAAATATGTTTTGGTATCTTGTAACAT